TAGCGGTTACTTATTCAAACGGGGTGGAAAACAGCAAAAGAGTGACTTATCTGGATGACGAGGCGACAGTGACATGTCGGTTAAACAACCGGTGGGAACACTGCACAGTGGGCAACTGCGGACACCGTCAGAGGGCTGTGCTGACTATTATATATAGAGAGAAGCAAGCGTTATGACGAGTTGTGGGAAGGGGGTCGTCGGTAGAGAGAGGTGAGGAAACTGGCTATTTTCACGAACGCACAGCCTCAACATCACCAGTCTAGGTTCGCGCGGGAGGCGTTACGTCAGTCAGACAGCCACAAACAGCTTATGGGGGCGTTAAACATCTTCACGACATTTTATCCACTTGAAAGTGAAAGAATTTCGAAGGTAGGTCTGCGACAACTTTAAATCTATTGTGGTCGTTTCGTACACAGTGAGCGCTTCTAAATTGTTGTCGTTTACCACGACTAGCTAAAGTACCTTTTTCGTTAGGAACATAGTCCTACAAACATTTTGGACTTTGTTTCCACAGACGAGTGGTAGAGCAGATGCGTTAAGTTCGGCAGATAATTTACTATGACGATAGAGCGCTCTAGATCTGACTGGAATGCAGGCCTCTGACCCTGATCTGAGTACGCCAATTTGGGTTCAACTCTCAAGTCTATAATAATGTCAAAATCTGTTTAAGTAATAGCCCTACCGGCGAACATCATACGCAGACAAGAGTTAAACTGACTTCGGATTAAGAAAGCTTTGGCTAACGCCCGGTTATTCACAGCAATGAACGGAACGAATAATACATTTGCTTCATTTCGTGTTGCAAAATGCCACTAACAAGAAGGGGACATTCGGTTTGAGGCAAATCGGATCGACAGCTGATATGCACTTAAAGAGGCAAATAACGTTGCGCAGATTATTGGGCATGCGCTGGCCAAAAATCTTCGACTTTGCCTTACCTAATGAGCCGACGAGTGAAGTGACAGTCACCACATATCTGTCAATGGAACAGAATTGTGTTCATAATCTCGTCAGCCACACCAGCTTCCCCTTATGTGAGCGCAGCGTTTATCCAAAAATGACGAGGATCAGCCAGTTTGAGTAAGAGTTCGAGCGATGTTCAGCAATTCACTGCCGAGCGCGATCTTCAAACTTGTATCATCTTCATAGACCAATCATTTTACAGGAGCTACAGCAGACCGCAGCACCTTTGCTCCATCCAAATAAAGTTTCACTGTTTGACCGTCAACTGAACCAAATTGTGCCGTGCTAACCCTTGCTTAGCATCTTATCGTTGCGGATCCGCACGTTGGTTTAAGGTTTGCTAATTGCGGTTGGCATATTTGGGAAAACCATCGCGTTTAATACGCTATTTTGCCAACTCAAAGTGTAACCAGTGGAACTCGAATGTATAACAGAGTCGTTAAATCTGTAGACTTATTTGGATCGTGGAGCCCTATAGTGATAATGGTTTTGAATACTGTGAGGACTTCTTTGAATTTGCTACCACGACCAATCTCCGAGGTCACCCGTTAAAACTACCCCTCAGCAGGCAAGGCTGGATGCGCGGAAGTACTCCCTCTCTCTCCGAGTGATCAAACCATGGAATGCTCTCTCTGCAAAACTGGTGATGCCACCATCGATACAAAGTTCTAGAAAGAACCGAAACATATTTGTGTTCCGAAATGACCAAGAACGATGAGAGATTGAGATCATCCCCTGAGACTAACTCGAATTTTGTCATACCAGTATAAGCCCGTTTGAAATATTTTCGCCCAGATAATTTCACTGTACATGGCATCCAGTTTTACGTCGTTAATAGGATACTCAAAGGCTTACGGCTGTTTTCTTAACAAACTGAACCAAACTGAGCGACTCAGTGCGACGTTTTTAAACGCGCTAATTTTACACGTCTGTCCAATCTCGTGCTGGCGGTCCGATTGTGTACTTTTTGTGTTTTCCTGTCAGACTTGCGGCGGGTCCCGCTTGCGGGTTGTACACGCAGATTCCCTGTACTTTTGGTTCGTAGAGACTTACTTAGATTTATTACTGAAACGCGATAGTTTCGGTGCAACAAAATAAACACTTAACATGTGTTAGAACACCTCACAATATTAGGAGTGCATCTTGGATGCAAGTTCCCTAGTAGCAAACTATATCGAGTATATATCTATTAGATATCTATTTATCGACATATATATATCGATTAGATATCTATTTTGACGCAAACATAGATATCTATTAGATATCGATTAATCGAGATACTACGCTATCGGCGAAAAGGGGGGGTAATATGCTACGCCCAATGCCCTTTTCTATCCCCCATCCATTCCTTGTCGTGTGTTTAATCCCCCCTGTTACCCAGAGGTACTTTGGAGATAGTTATTGTGGAATAATTATATTGAAAAGTAAATTAGTTAGATATGTACAATGCTTTGCTGAATCCTTTCACGCGTGATCACTGTGTTGACAGATGCCGGCAATCAGTACAAGCTCCTGGGATGTTGTCTAAAATTCAGAATAAGTTTTGATAAACTGCACTCAATTAAACTTACGTCTTTAGTTTTCTTTGGACGTAGCTGTCCAGCGACTTTTCCAGTCGTCTACATTGTGCCCACCAAGGCATGTGAGACAGTAGGTCTACCGCAAGAGGGAGTTATAAATTGGGTAGCATACCGATTGGTTTCGGAAGCTTTTGTCCAGTAGTTGGAAATAACCTTCCAGTGGCTCTCAGTGACATCGATTGTGGACGGCAGTGTTGCCATTTGCTTACATATCAGAAGAAATATACGCATCTGATCGCTAGCTGATGACACTTTTGGAGAATAAGTTCAAGAAGTCACATTACCGTCGTCTGTCTGGTCGCCCGAAGGGATGGTTTCGAATGTCATCGGCGTTCTCCTGGCGCTCCTGAAAGGTATAACGACGTTATTTTCCATCACTTACTGGAAAGCCTTGTTTCCATACCTCTTAATACGACGTAATCGTGTTCTCCGGGATTCCTGCCTTAACATGGTTAACATAGAACAGTGGCAAACAAGAGATATAAATGAATAATGACAAGTAAGTGCAAGAACTGTCAACTCACGCGTTCCACGCCGCTCACGCGAAATAATGGCGCGCCCGCGTGTGCGCGCAATCGAAATGCGACTAAAGAACGGCAACCAATAAAATGCCAGATTGCTTAGGCGAGGTGGCCAATTACGTGACAGACATACATATCTCGATAAATCGCTATTCACGTATATCTACTCGATATCTATTGCTACTAGGGTTTTGTCATCACTGCAACCCTCCTAGCACTTACAATGGACTTCATCAGAAAAAGTATTGGCCCGTTATCCTTAGGAAATAAACTAGTGATTGCCGTGGAGTTTTCTCCGTGCCAACACAAGTCTGAACCAGCTTTATTTACCCTCCAATGCATTTTTAAGGTGTCATGAATTTAGTTTGGCATATAAAGAAGCGCATCCATTTTAGCTCCACTGCAATGCAAGCTAGTTTTCGGCGAGCTCGCTAATGCAAGGCTTCAGCGGACTTGTCTGTTATAACAGCTTTTGGGCGAAATAGGCGAGTAGCTTTGTCTTTTGTGCCAATGAATACGTCGATCATCGCGTTAAATAGGCAGAATCAGATTGACAGTCAGCATTCACGTCATGTGCGGAATGTGAGATTTCTGACAATCGACTGCCTGTAGTGGTCTCGGAGGTGTAAACACCTTGGTGCCGTAATAGGAACGATGTGGTACGTTCCGGATGTTGCGTTTGAAAATGTGACAACTAAAGAATTCTCGCTAGCCATCTTCACGCCTATGTTAACTTCAGACAGCAAGGAAAGCTGTATGGACCTTGCTTTGTCTTTAAAAGTTCAATGACGATGTTGGCTGATTAGACAGTCGTTTTGTTTCCTCTCAGTTGGGCAAATGAATTCTTTTTATATGTACGGTACTCTGAATGCTCGTAGCTAGACTCGCTGGATATAGTCTCGTTATTTTTTCTAAATGGAATGGCCCAATCAGCCTTGTCTATGAAGTCGTCCGCTGGCTACTATTTGAGAACTTCACGTTAGCTGTCACACAACTATGCACTTGCTGCCCCCTATGGACAGTTATTGACTCATCAAGTCATCTTCTTCCCAGCTATCGTAAAGGACGTTTGGGAACTGGACAGGATAGGAAGTGGTCCGAGTTGACCAACCTTATATCTTTGGTAGTCGTAGATGCGTGTAGTAGAACTGAGGCCCCATGACCGACTCGGACAACGATGTGCTGTGATACTGATTGCAGTTTAAAGCTTTCACTGAGAAATCAGCGAGACGAGTCCATGTTATCCCGGAGTGTGGCTCCGAAGCGTCTCCATGCAACAACAGCACAGTTTCCTCTACTAATTTGCCGTAATCGACGCCAGCATTCCGATGGACGACTAGATTGCCCCTTATGTTAGTTCGCCTTGCTGCAACATTTGCACATGCCTTCCGTCTTGGTTGACCCTGCATGCGACACTCCTGCCAGGCAGTCCTTTGCAAACTTAGAATGCACGACTCCATTGCAATGAGGCATCAATTTATACACGGGACATTAGCTTTTATTTTACCTCGACGGAGTGCAAAATAAAACATTTGTCTTGTGTCCTTTGTCAGTTATTTTGCGATTTCCCTATCACCTTCTGAGTTTCAACATGTATTCTCACATCTTCGCTAGCCTGGCGTTTTCCTGATATCTCTTTAACGGGTTTAGCCTCATTATTTTCGCGTCATGAAAAATACACAACTTCGGATCAGCCGCCATTTTTTGAAACACGAAATTCCTATCGTCAAATGTTAATTTTTCTTTTATCGTTACCGGTTTACTTAAATGTGCGCGATCGCCCTCCTTATTTTCTGGTCGGGGCATTCCCCAGGCATGATGAACATCTCCAGTCTCCCTTGTCTTTGTCGGTAATGTTATTTCTGCTCACTTAATTTGTTGACATATTTTCTGACCCCTAATATGCCCTTCCCTTTGTAGGTGACAGCGCCAATAAATGTCAGTCGCAGGTGGTGTCTGTCAGCTGGAGGCGATAAAGGCGGCCAAGTAATTCATCCTTTTTTGTTTAACGCCTTTAGGGAGAAATCGCAGCAACTCCAGGAAGTATCGGATAAATTATCCGATACAGTGGCATTTTTCTCAAAAGAGACACTTCATATTAAAGAATACGAAGCCGAGCTGGAGACACTTATTCAGGAGCGTGCCTTTTACCAGGAACAACTGAGGCTGATTGAGAAGGATGCTGTTTACGTTAGTTTGCTTTCTTGGATTTTTTATTCCGTAATCTAAATGCTAGCAAAAAACTAGACTAGGCGATCAGTAGCATTGACGATGTAATCATGTACGCGAGTCAAACTTTCCTTTCTCGTTTTCCTAAGTCCTACCGGTACTTGGTGCTATCTCGATTATGCCTTAGCCGACCGACCTCGTTGTTGTTGTTGTTGTTGTCGACTGTACCTTTCCACGGGTGAAGATCTGCGGCAAAGGACCTGGGGAGATCAGTCCGCTCTTTTCTCCACTGCAGAGACCAAACACTGAAGGTCCGCGAAACACGTCCTGATGAACTGCGTTGAGATAGGTTTTGGACCGATTTCTGCGACGCCTTCAGGTGTATTAGAGACTTCAGATCAAGGGTAACAGTAGTAAACTCGTGGTTTGATGGTCCGAGATATCCCTGCGATGTCGCAACGAGAGCCGGACTCTTTCACTCGAGACGAAGTCTGCATGCTTTACTCGAAGGACGGTTCATTCGCCACGATGATGAATCATCACCAGTTTGCTCATTTTGCACAGCCCAGCTCTCACAGTCGTTTCGAACTGACCGCATCAGGGTCCGGTACATGCGGATCTTTTTGACGATTGAGCTATCCTGACGCATCCAGACGCTTCTTAGACTTTCAAAGACCCTGCGCGCAACGTCGATTCGGGCGACAATGTCGTCATTATTTTGTCTGTTTGGCGACGATTTTGACCCGAAATATTAAAGACTACGGGGTGTCTTAATAATAGTAATTGTATTCTGGTCAGAAGTGCCGACCGAGCATGACGATGGCAGCATTGTCAATAAGGCCTATACCGCAATACTTCTCATACTTTGTGTCGTATTTCGGTTATCAGGCATTACTGCGTCTCCCACGCTCGCCTCACCATCATGTGAAGCCAAGCTGTCAATACCAATGCAAGACTTTTAGGCGTCAGCGGGATACCGTTATTTACAGACCCGTTGTCGGGTAGCCTCAGTATTGCACCAACTGTTTTTTCCTGGGAAGTGGTCACTCGACACTGTACAGGCTGGATAGAATAAGACTCCGCTGCAGAGGGGGCAACGGTCTGGCTGTCGAAGATGGGGTGCCTGCAGTGCTTGCGCTAGCGCTCAACCTTGGTCTAGTTGTCACCATTCACAATACTAAGATTCACTAGATGCGCTGAGCCTACCACTAACTTAGTAAATAAGTTAGTGCAGTTCTCGAGTATTGCCGGCATTAGAAACCTGCTCCAGGAAGGTCGTCGATCCAACTTCCTAGTTTTGTGGATTATCCCTACTTCATCTGACCTCGTTTCCCGGATTTGGCGAGATGTATAATTGTTGCACAGCCTAGATCAACCTGTCCAAACAGATAAATATAGGGCCCTTGAGCTGATCCAATCATTGCGGTGTTGCTTGGTTGATTAGATAATTTTTATAAACTGTCTAGCAGACTGAGGACTTACGTGATGATCATTTGTTACTGCTTTATTCGCCCCTGGTCGCAAAGCGAGACCGGATTTCTGTGTTTAGCGGCTCGACCGTGTTGGTCTATCGCAAGTTTTTTTTACATCAAGGCGTTTTGTGCATGACAATTTGGGCGTGGATAACAGGTGGATTCTCAGGCATTTGCGAACGAGAGCGTGGTCTGTCCCGTAGACGTTGCCAGTTTCGGTACCACACATCTATCTGTCATTATAACTCCAGCTGCAGAATTTTGGATTGTCAAGGGTGCAGTTAGCATATCTGGCTGTACGACCACCGCTTGTGAACTAGTTTAAAAGGCGTTTATGGCGACGTGTTAGTACATGTTGATGAAAAGCAGCCGGTTTTAGTCGACGAAATTCGACATCCCCTCACTATTTCATATAGGGGGGAGCCCAAAACGGCCAATAGGATGGTTTGGAAAGTTGCATGGCCTTCCCGGCCAATTGTAGTCCTCGACGACTATCGGTAGATCCTAGAAAGGCGTACATTTAACCGTTCTGTGGAGTTTTAGAGGCCTACCATGTGGTCAGTTTTCTTCGTTTCGTTTCCCAACTCCCGTGTACTCCCGAAAGATGTTTAAAAGCTGCCTTAAACTACTGTGTTTTTGTTAACTACCTGGGAGTCTTGACCCATCTCTCTACCTCGGTGTTTTGAATCTGTGCAATTTGCTCAGTTTTATTCACTTGTTCGTTGTTTTAAAGGTGTAACAGCTTTACATGCGACCCGTCCTCAGTGATTTTACTGGGCGCCGCTTTGTTATTTCCCGAAAGCCGAGGGCGTCGAAGTTAAACATGTGTTCATGAAGAGCGTCACTCCGAAGGTCTGAAGATATTAACTTCTCGCGGAGCCCTGTATTTTCTGTTTCTGTTGTTACAAATTTGCAGGTCGAGCGTGCTATCCTTGAAGCCAACATCGACAAATTGAAGGCTCTTAGACTCGCAAACTCCCTTTTCAACGAGTACAGCTGCCTTCTATCCGAAGTCAATAGCCTGCGTTCGAATCTCGGATTGAACAGTCTAGAGGACAAACGTACTCCTGATACTATGGCTCTGATCTCACCGGACCTGCCTTCAAACGCCTCCAGCACAGTTGAGGTGACGCCGAATGCCCCCGATCTCTCTTCTGACGGTCCGCCTCTACTCGATTGCGGGTCTCGTGGCCTTTCAAATCCCTCCGATTCACAGGACCATAGAAGTCACCCCTTAGACTCTTCACTGCGTTTGGGAACTTCTCAACTACCGCGAAATGACTTAGATTCTGCCAGTGCCTTATCAACGTGGCTGTCGAACTTCCAAGCAAATCCTGGCTCTGAAGCGACAGCGGAGCTGGGGCCGAATTTCTGGTCCGAGGGACACTTAAAGATGGCGACAGCTCCGGGTGAGGGAGGAAACTGTGCAACCAACCGAAGCCCAGCCTTTTCTCATGAATTGCCACAAAGTGAATCTCTATCCTTTTGCTGTTATTTGTCTCAAACGTCTTCCAATGCCTAGCAGTCTCACCCGCGTGCTGATTTACCATTTAGTGTAACGAACAGGGAGTGAGCCTGGTACGTGAGAATTGAGATTTGGTACGTATTTCATGCCATGGACGCGGAGGCTGACGCAAGTTGGAACTAGGCAACATGGCGGATGATAAAAAGGTCCTCAGCGAAAAGTACCAGCCACTTAAACAGTCTCAAGACTGGCGCACAAGCGGTTGCCGACCAACGCCAGCAGTGCTGTCAGTCGACCGAATGTTGAGATCTGGCGCTGTGACGACCCGTCATAAAGCTCCGCAAAGTCCAACTAAGACACTATAGCGTACCAATCGTAAACCCCCCCCTCCGCCTTGCATGGGTTTCTTGCCACCACTGCTGACTGGTTAGTTTTCAAGCAATCAAAGTCCTAAGAAAGACGCACGAAAAGAGCACTCGACGGCCATTGGGGACCCATCTGTACAGCAAACTTCATGGTGGCTTCACGGCCAACGGTTTAACACGCTTTTGTGCTCCATTGTTAACTGTCACTGGACAAAAGCCATTTGTTATTCTTCCAATCTGAAGGAGTTATACGGATTACTTTCAATGGGAGAATAGCTAACAGAACATAATCTAGTCAAATGCAGCGAGGATGCAAAGCCATAATCTCAGTCAGAGCGGTTTACCCCCAGTAGTACACATCCATCCTTATAATGCTATACAGGGCTTAGAAGAATTATATTAAGTGCCCTACCAGACGTGATCTTTCATACCGAGTATTTCTTGAATATGTAAACATGCTGAATTCTGAACAAGCTACTGCCTCGAAACCTTCAAAAGCAACATGTTTTTCATGGCTACAGGCCTCCCGAGATCTGAAAGTATGTGCGCAATACGACATCCTATGTGAGCACATCAAGAACATGCCGAGCTGCTGATAGTTTTTGTTTAAGAGCGAACAATAATTGAAATAGATGACTTACCATACGAGTGGCTTTGAAGTTCTTGATGCTCCTCATACGTCAGCTTGCATTAAAGATTTTCAACATCAAGCAACTTGTGGGAGGACAAGAAAAATCAGGATCTTCAAATTAAAGTGCACCTTCGCTGGTCAAACTGTCCGGTAAGTTCTGATTGCTCACACAGGACGGTTAAATGGCTACCCAACATAGGCAGCTCCAAGTCTCAGCCAGAGGACTTGGCCATAACCACCATCAGTCAGTCTCCCGCGCATTAAGCATAGAGGGAGAGAACGAGGGAAATTACTTTAAATTCCTTACGCAGAGCAAAGATTACTCGGACAACTTTCCGAACGTGAGCATACGATGACTAATTGCAGTGCAATAAAAATAACGATTATCGCATCTTCTCAAATTTCCTGACGTGCTTCCCGCTTCACCCTCACCTTGTGCTTTCTCACTATTTGTAGTGACATGGACCGCTGCTGAGAGACATTATGAACGACTTATTGCGGTTCAGGCTAGATTTTGAATGTACAGATATGACTCGAAAAATCGAGGTTACTATCACAGAAGAAAGATTATCGCAGCAGTTCGGAGCCTCTACACCGAGTGTTTTGTCCTCATAAGGTCTTTCATCGGCCAAGTGTTGAGCATTAACTGGTTACTTCGTGAGCCGGAATTGCGTCAGTGCTTTTCAGTCGTACGGTCTCATAGCGACAGCAGTATTTCCTGTTTTGGAGTCCGCGATGGCGGTTTGTTGTTTTGCTCTAACTTACTTTCGCGTATGTGTTTTAGTCAGTGATGAACTGAACCATAGGGACTTCGGAACTGCTGAGTGTTGTTTGTGTTTTCGTGTTTTCAAGTGTGGGACTCTTAGCTGGCGATACTTTTATACACCAGCCTCTTTGCTCGGTAATTGATGAAGGTGGTCAAACTTTATCCATTGTCAGGTTGTAATTCTCGTCTCGCCTCCAACGCCTTCCCAGGATTTCTCGGCCTCACGGACAGCGCCCTGCGTGACCGCGAGACAACTCTTGGTCTCCTTCAGTCAGCTGCCACCACCGGCGCCTCCATGCACCACCACCATCAACAACAGCAACAGCAGCAGCAACAACCGCCGATGAAAACGTGTCAAGCCTGCCAACAACTCATCCATCGAAATGCACCCATCTGCCCGTTGTGCAAAACAAAGAGCCGCTCACGACACCCGAAACGCTCGACCAAACCGGGCCGTTCCAATCCTCAGCCGGCGCCGCCTCCCCTGCCATCGACGACAAGCGCCGCAGAAGTTGCCTCGCTGACCAATGGTGTCAATACAATTGGTGCGAATGCGCCTTCCTCCACCTCCTGCTCAAGCGTGGCTGCCGCTGCTGCCGCAGTAATGACTGCTGCCACCATTACCCCCACCGAAAAGGGTAACCAAAGCGAAAGGGCCTCGGTGTGAACATTTGCCTTGTATCATTGCCTTTATTAATATTCTTATCATCGACTGTTTACTTCATCTGTCACGTTTCCATCTGGCTTTGAAGTTTTGTGTACTGACGCCAATAAAATTTACCATTTTTAATTTCACCTCTCCCATCATGTATCGGCACCTGCCTGTAAGACCTTCCGCTACTGGCACCCACATAGTTGCGTAGTCTGCTATGGCTCTTGTCTTGACTTTCCCTGACAACTTGCGTGTTCATAGTCTGGAGCCCTAGCAGCTTTGGCTCATCGCTACTATCAGCTGTGGTTTTGTTAACGCCCGTGAATTCTGAGTCTGCCCAAGCCTCTTGCAACCTATGAGGCCCACCTGACTTTAAGCGGGAAGCATGCCACTTTATTTATTTGCAGCCTAACTATTTGTTTACGCAGTAAGCTGCAATTGCGCGTGTAAGTGATGGTTCTCATGTATTAGTCGATTACGTTGAAATGCCTTGTTGAATTTCCGAGGATCCAGTGGATTCTCCCAGCTCGTGGTGTCTGACGGTCGAACTTTCTGCCGTCTTAGCCTACTCAGCCACTTTTCGAATATCCGACTTAACTCACGGCACTCAATCTAGAGATCGCTGATTTAATCCTCAGAAGAGCATGATACCATTATCCGTTGTCCAGTTTGAGCATGTCTGTCCATTTTCTTTTGATGAATTTCGTCCTCCAGCTACTGACACTGGGTTTAGCACCAATTAAGTCCTTTATATCGACTCTGGAACTTGCATGTACAGGGCTGGCATATGGATGAGAAGAAATCATAATCTCCTGCGTAATAACGGATTGGCTTCCGGTGGGAAATCACCCGGACACCTTCGATAATTCATATTAGAACAGGAAGCTCTTCCATCCCGTAACTCGACAGGAGTTTACTTGGATTGGTAATAGTGGAAGAGACGGAGTATTTCGGCGTCGAAGCAGCTCAGGATATGCTTTCAAAACGCGTTTTGCTCTTACATTTTTCGGGTTCCTGAGCCACTCAGTTTGTACGCTAAGGTCTTACAACCCGCACCGCGGCCCCATTAACGAACATCCTGGCATTCGCTAAATATTGCGATATAGTTGGAGCATCTAGTACATTTCCTAAGCAGGCTCATAAAACATCACAGTTCAGCTGATAAGATTTCTAACTGAGATATTCCGTTCTCGAGCGCCTGGATCGGTTCCTTGAGGCATGACCACCGTAAAATATGTCTTGTGTTGGTACGTGTTGAAAGTCTTGGCTGTTGTTTGTGCACGCAGCTGCCGAGGGGGTTACTCGAGTGTCTTTACCATCTGTCAGTCGGGGCTGTTTATCACTCGCGCTGACGCTGGGGCTGTGCCGTTTCTAAAGAAGTGTTGTCGACCATAACCAGAGAAAATACTGTGACCATTTCTGAGCCCTCCGTTGTCTTCAGCTACTCATGTCTTAACTGTAGACCGGGAGATCAGAAGCTGGGGCCTGGAGCTCCAGATTATGTAAGGTGTACCCGTTCCCATTTTGCGATCAAGGTGGATATATGAACACCGCCCCTACAATGACTTGAGTATTTGCAATCGCAGCCGACGGGACACCAACTCGTGGCTCGGTGATAGCGTCTGGCCCAATGCCCAATCAAAAAAGACGCCAGGTCTTCCCTTACCAAAGTACCAACGACGAAAAATAACCCAGAGATCGGCATCCCAGTGTCCCTTGTGTTTATCAGCAACACCTCGATTGCCAACTGCTTTTTGCCCTACTGCTGTCTGTGCGGGCCCTAGACCGGGGATCCAGGACAAAGCGTCATTGACGATAGCCCGATAGACCATTGAACACCAATAGCATGTGAATTTGTCGCGCATCCTTGCTCTCGGTCGAAAAGGCAGGGTCCGTAGCGCGAAAAGTCTGACGTTTGCTGGTTTCGAGTCGGCCGCGTCTCGGAGGCCCTACTGTCTTGTCATAGTAAGCAACCTCGTGGTGACAATTTGGGTCTCCCAGGGTTTTGTCAGCGGCCCGGGCCCACCTCGTCTAGCCGTGTTAGTGCACAACTTGTCCAAATATCACTTCGGCAGTCTGGCTACGCCGACGCTTTGCGCGCTGTCCGACTCCTTTCCTTTCCCCCCCCCCCTTTGCCAGAACGTTCTGCTGGCGGAGAGTTCGCTTGACAATTTCGGAGAGGGGGGGAGGGCACATGTGGGACGATTCCGGTGAGTCAGTCACTGAAGCGGTACACAGTAGCAGCTGACGCTTGCCTTATGGCCCGACTTATCACTAGTCATCGTCAAAGTCCTCATAAGAAGAGCCCGCGTTGTGGGCAGTGTTGTCAGACACGCTTTTAGCGATATGCCGACTGGTCTGGATTTCTCTTCTCAGGGGATAATCATCGTTGAAGGGCCTCCTAAAAGCGAAACGTTTGATCAGAATAGTGAAGCCTGAAGTAAGACATGCACTTTGAAAGAGAATATCCGGGAGTCGTAGAAGATTGTAGTGTTTACAGCCGCACAGAGACAGTTTGACTGTCGTTATCGACGATGTCCACCGTGTAAGGACGGTGAGTTAGTTGTAGTGATAGTGGACTTGCGAGACATCTATCGGACGTTGTTCTCCCTCACCCACCTGAACTTGACGTCAAGATGGAGTCAAGAAGACCGGAGGTGGAATCGGGTCCATTGGCTGACTGGTACGCACACGAACCAGGTTTTCATACAAACAGGGAAGGGGAATCTGGGGTTCCAACAGAATAAAAGTGCCGTGGAGGAGCCATTACAGCCTAACTCTCCGTCCTCAGAGGAGAACCAAGTTATCACATCAGTTAGCAGTCATCTGAGCCACGTCTTTTAACGCATCGGGAAAATTTAACAGTGTGTCAGACTATCGTAGTGAAGAATTCGGAGCAGGGATGGAATCCACAGATTATGCCGCACTCAACTTATTCCGTGCATCAGTCATTTATGCGGACCCCTCGACCAACTGATGCTGAAACCGGGCGCAGTGGCTGACAGAACTGAAGCAGCCCGTCTACGCATGCCCTGGGCTACTCACGCCTCACAACAGGTTTTCACACAAAGGGGGGTGGGCGTCTCGAATCTCACACGCGTTATAGTAACGTAGAAGCTAGACGCAGAAGGAGCCCAAAACACGCTTCCCACTTACGTGGTAGGTGCCTGTTGTGTGGGACGGGTTCACGTGTGGTGTATGGGCTGGTATGGTGATGGGGTTGGTTTTGCGGTGCTTCTCCGCAGGTTTTCATGGAGGTCGGGCGTGCCCATGCGGTGATTGAATGAATGTGGGCAGTACGGACAGCTGAGACGAGGCTGGTGGGTGTATACTAGGGCCCCTGGCACTGCTTCATCAGTCTCTGTTCGATGGCGTCGCCAGTAACCGACCAGGTTGATGCGTGATGTGTACTGTAAGTGTGCTAACTCATGAAATGTTGACTGAAATTCTGAAATGCGTTTTTGTTTCGAAAAGATGACTTAGGTTTGGTTTTAAAATTGATCATGCGACATAATGCTATAATAATTCAGTTAGCTCAGGATGCTGGCCTTCGAACGAACATCTTCCCGGCCACATGCGAACAACACTCTGTAAAGAGTGACTACTTAACTAGCATGAATTTTTCCCACTGATTTTGGATGACCTTAAAAATTTTAATATATTTCATGGAAAAAATTATAGAAATGTTCATTCTCTTACTTATTCGATAGGAAATTACGTCTTCTTCCAAGTATACACTCGGAGGAAGAATATAGTGCGGTTTTGAAAAAATTTTTCCGATTCCCGAACAATTATGAACCCAACCTGCCGTTGCACTTGCATCCAGGATTTCCAACCTACGGGCTCTATATTCCCCGTGTCCGGAAAACCGTACATTTCTATATGCTAATAAGAGGAGACCATATGGAATTCATAAAATCTAATAGCGGATTTTAGCCATATTGTCAGCTTAACAAGCAACATTATTAAATGCAGAGACACGATGCATTAAGAACGGACATTTCACGGTATAAAAAATTTCATAATTAGAAACTTTTTTAAAACCGGATTATACCCTTCATTCAAATATAAATTTAGAAGAGGACGTAATTTTCTACCGAATAAATAAAAGGGTGAGTATTTTATGCATGTTTTCCACGAAATATATTTGAATTTTTAAGGACATCGAAAACCAATGAGAAAAATTCATTCTACATAACTAGTCATGTTTTACAGACATTGATTTTTTTCATGCGGCTGGAAAAATGTTCATCCGAAGGCCAGCATCCCAAGCTAACTGGATTATTATAGCATTATGCTGCATGATGTCCAATTTTAAAACCATACTTATTCAACCTTTTCGAACTGAAAAATCATTTCAGAATTTTGGTTAACATTTCATGAGTTAGCACACCTACTGCATGTGCGATGGTATATTGACAGGATGGGCTGGTAGCTGTTGTGTTGGTGGCAATGGCGATGCAGCTTGCAGTGAAGACACTGGTAACGTTGGAGATGGAAAAATTGTTTGATGTGCAAGGTGTGCATGGGCTGTAAACATTACGGTGTATCCCACCGCCGTGGATATGCGTTTGGCCAAGTAGGCCCATACGATTAGTTGGATGTGCGTGAGCAGAGCGTGCAGTCGAGGCGGGTGCAGTATCGGAGCAGTCACACAGAGGTGATATTAACCAATATGACTTGATTAGAATAGGAGGTACGCATATGTTTATCTCCACATTGAAGTTCCATCCCAAGGTTTCGCTGGCGGTACAATAGCGATGACCAATTAGCATTCGAGAAGAATTGTAGGCCCAGTGCTCCAAATCAAAGTAGAACGCACTCATTCCTTTCTATCACGCCACATCGGCCGACGCCGCTCACAACGTATATTGAAATTCCCAAACGCAACAAACAGAGCGTGGATCCTTAATTCAACTGGCAGATTGTCAAGTTCAACAGGACCTGGGATCAAGTCTCTGGTATTCCCGGCTTGATCTGGTGTATGAGTGTCTGACGACGACAAACAAGTCAGG